TGCAGTGATATTTCGTTATATGTTCCATAATGTCAATAATATTGATTTCCTTGCAACATCAATAATTATTACAAATGTCAATATAACGAAATATCTTTTATGCGATGTTTGTGGTGTAATAAAAATCTGTGTTTCGATTACGTTTTTGATACGTATTACTCACTTATATGTAATAATATAGAATAAAAATATACTATTAGTCCGATATTTGAAAATATGCATGCGTTCGTTGTCAATGTTAAACTGTTGTAATAACAATGGAATAATAAAATAATTTAATCAAATGTACATAATAATACATATACATATCCATAAAAACAATATTAAACGCAATAACTTTTTTGTACGCGAAGAAAAACTAATATAGGTCCGTCGGGATTAGAACTGAAGACTCCTTTCTAATACGTCTACTTTATAGCGAACGGACGGAAGAGAATCCGTTCACGACCATGGTCCCTTCTTAGATTTAACGTAGTTCACAAATTCACCGTTCTCATAACGTAGAGGGCAGCAGAAAATCCCTGACTTTTTACACTATCGGTATTTCAGAACATGGACACGAAGTCCCATAAGATGATAGGTCTATCATAGTCAGTATATACCTAGTCAGTGGTTAAACTAACCTGTAAAGTATGCTAAAACTGCTTAGTTTTACATACGCGTAACTTTTGAACCGCTGGATTCCTAAACTTGAAACTTACATGTTTAGATTCCACTCGTTGAATACTACCAAAAGATATAAAAAAAAAAGTCAATAATTTTTGGTCCGAGAAAGTAAAGTTCAGCCTTTTTTATTAATGTTTCATTTTGTTTCATATATTAATATATAGTAAAATGCAGATACATTTTTTTTTAAATGTGTACCTATTTCTTCGTTAATCAAATGACAGTGTAAGAATCTTCTGGCGTCATCTGTGATGAAGATGTGGTACCAATTCGCTAGTAGTTTGTATGTTTTATTGCAGATAACGCCATAGGTTTTTTCAACACCTTGCATCATTACGTATTGTAAAATTAAATATTAATTAGAAACACCGTAAACGGCGATTGTTGATGCTCAATATCGTCTTAGGATGAGTGTATAAACGATCTAACACCGTTGTATAAAATTTGTAATTACAATTTACGCAACTTTTCAGCATTTTTAAAATGCTATATATGCCATCGAATATAATTGCTGAAGAGAGAGTTTCCATAATTGAATACAAATATTCTTCATCATTAAACTTTTGCGTTTCTATTGAATTATATTTCTTTGAGAAACTTTGTTGCTCGTGCTTAAATGTCAAATAAATATTAAAGAGTATCCAAGCACTGTGTACCAATTTCTGTATCGATTCGATACAAAAATAAAAAGGCGCTTATGTAGTTTAAACTGTTTCTCTACTAGAGTCGCTCTAGTCGCAACCAACTGTACTCAAACTATCCATGGAGGTTATATATCTAGAGGATTGAAATGTACGAATCGTGATTAAACTGACTTGACACGCTTGACGCTACGAGCGCTGTGCATACCATTGTTGCATAGTGTTTATATCGTGAATGTGACGTATGATAGCTACGTCAAGTTACGTTTCTCGCTCTTTGTGGGGATTCAGAGTAGATTTACTTGACATCTCGACTATTAATATTTCATATCCGATATTTGGAAGTCGATTAACGACATTTCAGGATGGGCGTAATTTTTTTGGAGCACATCGGAGGTACTCGCCTGTTTTCTTGCGCTTCCTGTGACACCAATCTTACAAACAGAGCTCAGCTGATAAGCACGCGTTTCACGGGCGCCACTGGCCGTGCTTTTCTCTTTAACAAAGTCGTCAATTTAAATTACAGGTATTCGCGTTTTTCCTGATTTTTTAAAAATAAGTTAATGTTAATCAATTCCGTACGAAGTGTTCCACTATTCCGTTTCAAAAGTTGTCACAGTGACAGACAATGATGATTGTGTAAGATGGAATATTGTTGTTTCCATGCACCTAAGAAAATGGAGAAAAGCTTGACTAGATTCGAATGATAATGAACATATTGTTTACAAACGATAATCTGCATGAATATGCACGGAGAAAAGTGTTGTTAAGTTAATTTTCTTTTAATTAAATGTAAAACAAACAATACAAACGTCATTTTTATTTTGAAAGATTTTAATGGAATTGAATGTGTGACAGTGCAATGATAGAAATTGGCAAATTGTGAACCTCGCTTTCAACAATACATTTTTACAGGATATATTTCTACAAATTTTAAGGAGTCCAAAATGTGTAATTATTTATTTGGGCCCTGATGGGAAAGTTGTGAAAAAGGCGCGTAAACTTCGGAATCGTTATCTTCTTCGAATGACGATGCACGAAATAATCATTCAGGAAATGGACAGGTAAGTTTCTGGTAAATTGATATCGAGCAATACTAAAAAACCATAAAATTGTTGCTACGTAAATGCAACAATCGACAATCCGTTCACCGATTCTGACCTCGCACGCAAAAACAGATGATGCGTGATTTAAATATGTATTCGCGAAAAAAGTAACATTGTTACAAAGGGTCGAAGTTTTAACTGTACAATAACTGAACATGTCTAATGTTTGAAGAGTATAAATAAATTATAAATAAAAAAATTATTAAGAAGTAAAAAAACATTCTGATGAACGTCGAAAGAATTTAACAACTGAACAAACAAATCAATCTCGTCTTGTAACGAAACTTCATTACATTGTAGAGATCGTAAACAGATTACTGTGCGTCCATTTAGTACCTGTAAGATGTAACGAATTTTCGATACAAAATGGAATTGATTTGTTCAATTATTTATTTGATTAGTTCATTTATTTATAATTTTTAAACATTGGACATTTTCAGTTATTGTGTAGTGAAAATGTGAACCTCTTGCAGTAATTTTTTTTTCATGAATATTTAAATCAAGTGTTACGTGTTGCTGTGATCACAATCGGTGAATGGGTTGTCGGTTGTTGCTTTTACATAGCAACAATTTCATGGTTTTCTAGTTTTGTTCGATATCGACCTACCACAAAATTTACCTGTTAACTTTTTGAATGATTATTTCGCAGATGGATTATCATCCGAAGAAGATAATGATGAAATGCATTAATTTGGTAAGTTTTACTGACGGCGACATTCCGAGGCATAAGCGTATTTTTTTTATAAACTTTCATACCAAATCTCGGATAAATAATTATGCATTTTGGACTTCTTAAAACCCGTAGATACATTGTGTAAAGTTTTCTCGTTGGCAGCGAGATCCACATTTGCCCAATTTCTATCACAGTCGTTTATTAATGGAAACATCTGGAGCTTGTACTACATTCGATAATGTTATTTTCGTAGAGAATATAATTAATTTCTTATTTTACGCGTAGAATGAGTTACATTGACGATTTTTATGCATCATCCATTTGTTCTTAGGTTCATGATGTTCCTTTTTTTTTTATTGATGCGTGTATTTAGCTTTTTAGCACTATTTAGCACACAGGATACCATTCTTAAATGTACAAAATCTCTTGAGAAATTGTACTAATGGAATAATCTTATGAAATTGTTGCATATTCCTAATTTAATTCGTCTACAATGATACACAGCGAGGTACAGGATAGAGTGATGCTGACGGGTCGTCACATGGTCCGAGATGTCAGCTGCAAAAACTGTGATGCTAAGCTTGGGTGGGTGTATGAATTTGCGACAGACGATAATCAACGATACAAGGAAGGCCGTGTCATCCTGGAGCGTGCTCTGGTCACAGAGACTGACGGAATGGGCGACAATATTTACTATCCTACAAATAACAGGTCATAGGATAAAAAAATATATATCATAGTCAACATATAAACAATTGTTCTCTTTTTTTCATGTTCCTTCGTTATTTGGAATGATTTTAAAACATTGTTCTCCGAATGTACAACAATTCATACACGCTGTTCGATATTTTTGTAACCATAGAACGTGCTCTGTCCTATGATATTAAGCATTAATAACAATCTACTTTTCTAATTTATTTTTCATTCAACATGTATACTATAGTAAATCTGATTGAAAATAAAAATTGTGTTGCACATTAAATTGTTAGTTTAAAATATAGTCATTGAGTGGACAACGATTAGCGGCATTGAATAAAACAGTACAAACTATAATAATAAAACGTCTTTGAATCAAATAATTGAAACAGTTGTAAATATATAATATTGTATATTTTCCGTTGGTCCCCAAACATATATTTAGTGGCACCAATGACAAACATTGAAAATCTTCGTTTATCTTAGGTTTAAGAAGACGAAAAATTTGTTCACTTATTAATCAATATTTATACATCTGTAGCATAAGGTCCTGAACGAATTTTTGTACTATACAAAAACACTTTTGGCCGTGAAAACTCACTCCAAAGGGGTGAGAAATGAACCCTTAAAGTTATCGCGATATATGTACGTAACCGTAGAAGATAAAGAAAAATTTTAAAAACAACAATTATTCAGTCTCTTATTATCTATACAGCCTGTTCTAAAATCCCACAAAGTTTCATTAGAATTAGTATTTTCCGGTTTGAGAAATTTTCCTTGCAAGCGGATCTCGACATATTCGAGACACAAACGAACCGCGCCCCAAACGGTCACGCGATTGGCCGGTACCATTCGAGCAAGGGCCAATAGTAGAGGCGAAGTTCTGCAACGAGTCGCGACAGCGAACCAGTGTGGTCACGTAGGCCCACCATACCGCATGGTGGATAGATGTTTCCTTTAACTCGACGTCGTATAAAATGCTATAATTGTGTATTGTTGTTATTTTGCAAGGGCCGCAACGATCCTGTGGAGCAGCCATCTCCAGCCTTGCACACGGTAATTACAACAGTATATAGCTACGTTACATAGCGGTAGCGTGCGGACCGATTCAAGCGTACAATTTGTTGTTTGCTGTTCGGCTCAATGGCCGAGCGCTGGTCGCACAGTAGCGATATGTTCGTTACGTTCGTAGAATAACTGTTTCGGTCGTTTTTGTGATATCCAAATGCCGGACAGCTCGTCGACCGGCAGCATTTCTTACGAAAACCATGAATATTCCTTCATATACGAGTTTTTTCGCTTCCTTGTTTTCCTCCCTTCGTTCTTCGTCCTTTCCCCTCTACTGTATCCCACGCATACAAAGATACGCGGCGGCACCGACGAAAGCGACTCCGGGTATTTTACGGAAATTTCAAACGGATTTTTGCTAGAAAACGTTTGATTTTGATAGCGCTGGGGCGGCTCAAGTTCGTCGGCAGTAACCGCGAGTGTACCCGTGATGTTTGCGTCTGTAAAAATAATCGTATCTTATCAATCGCTGTTAGGGGACATGTAAAGTCTCTCGCACACGGTGCCATTGCACCGCCGAATGGATCGTAACAGGAAAGCTATAAATACACACGCATCGTGGGGTAAACAAACTTGACCTCAGTGGAATTCTTATCGATGTACTTACATGTCGGTGCAGTATACTCGGGCATTTTTGAGGTTATGTCGAGCATCCGAGTTCGTTATTATGCGTGAAATCCATCCGCTTTATATGGCAATAACAATTATTGTTTCGTCAGAGGGGAGCCAAATGAATCCATTCGAGGTTATTTAGCGGAATAAGATTCCTTGTAACGTGAGATATTGTCATTGGTAGTTTCCCTCGCGTCAGAATCCTGGCGCTTTGTTTCTGAAATGAACAGAGATAAATATAGTATACAATGTTTTTAGAAAAATAATTGATCGATGACGAGTTCGTCGAGCTTTACCCGGCGTACACTTTCACTATTCTAGAAAGCTGATATGTTAATTTATGTTAAATATTAAATCGATTACGCTACTTTAAATGTTAAACAATGTTATGAACAACATAATATGTTGCTCATATAAATAAATGAGCTTCAAGTTATCGAATTTTTTTTATAGATGTAATAAATGCGAATTTTACAGGTAATTTTAATTACTGAAATAATTATAAATTTTGCGGTGTACAATGTTTGCATAGTATTGAAGCTACAAGACTGGTGAATCTAGATTGTAAATAAAATTTAAATACAAGTAGTCCCCTTTTAATAATCGCGTTTTCTCCGCTTTATTGATGTGAAGTTATCCCCACCAATTCCTGGAACTGTTTCCCCGAAGCGAGTGTACACATTGTGTGTGTTGCATATCGCAAAACAGCTGTTCGAACCTTTCTATTTCACTCACACCCAATGTTTGTCACTCGCGGCTCCGACGCGCTCAAGAAGCGAACGAACCGGAGCGAATGTCAACCTCCCTCGATAACTGTCGCAACACGGGCCTTAACCTGTGTTAATTTAGCGGGGACTACTCTATATTACTTTTTAATTTTTTAAACAAATTTTCATACAAAAAACATGATTATTAAATAAAATTAGAAGTATACTATCAATATTATCTTCTTTGCAACAGAATATTGGCACATGCCTGTTATTGTCGAAACATCGTTGGAATACAAATAAATCGTAATTCGAGCAACACGGGAGAAAGTGGAGCTTTCAATATTTGCTCCTTGACATCAAAATACTGATGAAAATGAAGTGGTCAAATGGCCCTTTGTTCTGTGAACAAGTAGGTGAACTCACTCGAGTATTCTCCCAGTGGAATGAGTGTGAACAAACTGTGGTTCTGTATGCTCTCCTTCGTCGCATTCCTGGAGTTCAAGCAAGATTTTTAGCACAAGCAGTGCAGCATTCTTTACACTCTGTCTCTGAATTGGACACGCAGGAATTAAATGCCAATAATTCAGGTACTTTTTTTGTTGAGAGTTGATACGAGCATATTAATGGTTCTATTCAGGGACAGTCACTAAAAACCTTTTTTGCAGGGTTCATCAACTCTTTGCTCTCAGAATCAACAGAAGTTGCTATTAATCAACTTCTAACACATTTACCATTATTAAGGCCTGGGAATGTAGAGTGCAAACAATGCTACTTAGTAGCAATACCAGAATTAGTGAGCCACTGTGTCACTACAGGGCAATATACTGAACAAATTCAACAACTCTTAAGTTATACTCTGATCCATCCAGCTATAACTAGTCAAGATAGACGTTCTCTGACTCAGTGGCTCCGTCATCTGGAAGAGCGATGAGGAATACACTAATACCACTATTAGGTGAGACAAGTTAACCCATAAGCTAAACTTATGGATATTATATAGAATTGTCTTTGCTGAGTTTCTGTTCCTTTTTAAGGTGGGATAATGCGTGGCAGCGAAATTCTAAACAACAACAGAACGATCAAACAAACTTATTTGGCACGCAACCGGGTACTGCTTTCAATTTGCAGTTTCCTCCACCTGTAACTCGTCAACGTCGATCAAATAGTTTAACACCGCCGGTTGCTCCTCCGCATCATTTGGAAGTGGTCGATCGCGGTAATAATGTGAATTGCACGACCAGACACAAGCCGCGAAGTTTTAGCGTTTCTGGAGATCATACGAGTTAGTGTGATTTAAAGTTGAAACACGTGACACCAAATATCAGCTACGGGTTTATTTTATTTTGAGTAATTGTTAAATTTTTAACAGGCAACCTTATTGGATTAGGCCCGTTGAGTCCTCAGAGTTCTTGTGCGAGTAGCGGTAGTGAGGGACGTTTAGACGAAGCTTCTAACCTATCACTTGCTAGTGGTATGAGAGGTAGGCGTGTATATAATTTTCAGAACTTCATGATGTTTTGTTAGGAATAGTCTATAATATGTTGTGTTCTGTGTATAGATGTTCCATCATGGCTTAAGACTCTACGCCTTCATAAATATAGTTATCTGTTTGTTACCCTGAGTTACGAAGAAATGCTTCAATTAACAGAAGAAGAATTAGCAGAGAAGGGTGTAACGAAAGGTGCTAGGCACAAATTAGCTATTTCCATCGCAAAACTACAACAACGTTATACGACGCTTGTAAATTTAGAAAGAGACTTACTGCAACCGCAGCGTGATAACACACAGTCAGCATCATTTTCACAAGGACCAACAGTACTGGTCAATACTATTGACGAGTTGAAAACAATTTTAGCTACACCCATGAAACCAAGTCAAGAAAACGATCCCCAAGACATACCTGCGCAATTCACCAAAGTTCTTGGTAAACGTGAGTATAGCATTCTTGTCAGCATGATGTTTAAGATAAAAAAAAAAAGAAAAGAAAATACAATCAGTATGGGTGACAAATGTGAAAAACGTTTTTAACATAACTGTGTTCGTTTATTTCTAAGTATGTAGCAGATTGGCATTGGATAGCGTGGATGATGGCATTTTGTGCGCTTGTATTAACATATTAGAGAAAGTATTGCAGCATGATTGCTTTACACCAAACCAGAAGGAAAAGGTACAGCAATGGCGTAGTAGACTTGGAAATCCACGACCTACTCCAAAGTAAGGAAAATGAAATTACTATTGTATAACAGTTGCAGAAACAAAGATTAGAATTAAATAGAAACTGGCTGTCGGATTAATAATTGGCCAATTGCAATTTCAGGTGGCAACACAATTATGGATACAATAACCGAAGATACTGTAACCCACAACAGCACAACAGAAAGCCAAGTTTGAACTTGAGTCACATTCACAATACACATCAGCAAAATAATTCTTTTGTGGTTAGCACTCATAGGAATAGTATATCGACACCGTATCTGCAAAATAATCAGAACCAAAGTATAAATCAGAATATCTTACGTTCAGTCCACACGACCGAGAAACGACCTAGTTTACAAGAGTCTAGCTTGCAGGTATGTACACATGTATACTGAATTTGAAAAAGCGTGGGTGAGTGGATTTAAAAAGAAAATAAATACATGAAACAAAAATCGCCTCAGTACAATGACTTTGAGAAAGATTCTATTTATTAGGTCCATTTTTCAAGAGCATGTACCGTTTGCATTTACCTTTTAAATATGTTTTTTAAATTCACTCTTTATGGAAAAGTAATACTGATTTTTTCTGTACTCCAGCAGTTACAAAGAACATTACAGCGCACGTACAGTGCGCCGAGGGATCATTTTCTTGGCCAGACTGGGAATAACACATCCGAAACAACGGAGCCGGAGATCAATTCTCGCCTCGAATCTCTGTGTTTAAGAATGACAGAACAAGCAATCGGTGGCTTCGGTGAGGCCTAACGAATTCTTCGTTTCGTTGACTGGATCTACGCAGTAAGTCCTGTTTGAGAAAGGAAATTTTTAATCAAGTGATATATAGATATATGTGTGTCCGAGCTCCGTTTTTTCAAAGCCGAAGGCAAGACTGACTCCCATAGATCTTGCAATTAAAGAGACCGACAGCGATGATAGTGCTGCTGACAGTTGCGCGTACTCGACGCGCACACATTCACGCTTTAATAGCCCTACCAAATGAACAAAAAAAAAAGAAAAAATGTCCAACATTTAAAGGGACATTATCGAGGACACTCAGTTTGCGACGTCTGAACGACTCGTGAGAATTTAAACAAAAACAAAAATAATATTTTTTATTATACCCGATGCAATTATACTATTTAATGAAACTGACAGAATTTGGCAAGCCAAATGCTATTAGGAAGATAGATTCTTTCCTTGACTATTTGCTGCATCTATATAAATGTATTATATAAAGAATATATATGTATACACATATGATAGAATTTTATGGGAAGCGGATTAAATCGTATAACATATAATATGAAAAAAAAAATGGGGGACGAAAAAGGTACACCACATTATTGTGCGATGTTTGCAATATTATTTTTTTTTTTTCGTGTTATCCATTTCGGGAAATGGAATTTCGTCTGATTTTACGCGCCAGGGACACATACTAATGTAATGTAATTCATTTTAATGAACTGACTGATTTTACTCCTTTTTTATCATTATTAGAATTATCTTTATTATTCTGCTCTTATCGCCACCGCCGCTGTTGCTATATTACCATTACGGTTTTCTGTAATTGTCATCGACAGCTTCGCCACCATCATCGTCATCGTCGCCATCGTCATTACTTATTCACCATATTATTATTAATATCATTATAGTTAACGCCATTAATTATCGCTACGCAATACCCTTTTTACCACTGCTACTGCAATCTATATTTCTCCAACATCCGACTAACACCATTATCCGTATGCTTTTATGCTGTTACTATTTTTATCCTCTGCCGTTACTATTACCATTCTATCACTAATGCTATTACTATTTCTACTACTCGACTACTAGTAGCGTCACTATTACTATTACAAGTACTGCTATTACTACTATTATACTATCTCCACTATCACTGTATTATTACTGTAACTTTCCCTAGAGTGGAAGCATACTTAAAAAGGAAGGGGGGAAAGAGGAAAAAGTTTGACAGTTCGTTACATGCATTATAAAGAGGGAAATGAAAACAATACGGGAACGTGCGCGTTTTTTTTTTTTTTTTAAAGAAGAGAACGTGACGTGTATGCTTTGTAGTTTTCGCACTGATCTTGGAATTTTTTACACACACACACACACACATACACACACAGGGAGAGAAGAGAGACAGAGAGAGCATACACACATGCACCCACAGAAGCATATGCGATAGTACCAACATGTCCTCTTCTTTCGGAAACGAGGTTAGGCTGTAACAAGGGGAAACGAACAAGATGCGACGAAAGTGAAAGAAAAAAAGAAAGGCGAAGAGTTTATATAATAAACGGATTTCAAAGGCCTTAAGGATGTATTGAGCGAACGTTAAAAGAAAACAAAAGAAAGGGTATAAGACTAAATATACGTAGTGACGTTGGGGGAACGATGGAGACGCGTCGTTTAACTGCATCATGGCTATGTGATGCGACATCGAAATCTGTGGCTTTAAATTATAAGCATACATCATTTAATACTACTCTATTTACGAACTTTAGCGCTCTAACGTAAACGTCGCGAGTAAACGTAGCATAATATTTTTCGTGCAAGGGTAAAGAAGGAGAAGGGGAATGGAGGAAACGGTGAAAGAAGGTTAAATTTAATAATAATGATAATGATAATAATATTAATAATAATAACGATTAATATAGTATTAGCGACTAATGTAACGATAAACGCGAAACAAAAAAAAATATATAAACGAAAGACTGAATAATTCACGCGCCGTGCGCCAGTTGAATTTCGGACGATTTGCACTCGTTTATTCGTAGGGACATGTAGCTGCACGGTCGCGTGAATAAGAAACAATTGGAAGACTGCGGAAGGAAAAAAAACCTGTCAAAATATTAAGAATTAGAACGAGATGCGCGAGAGATAGCGAGCGAGAGCGAACGAGAGCGAGAGACGAAACGAGTTGATACGAGAGTAATGTTTAGATGTAATTCTAGGTTATAAAGGTTATTTTAACGATCATACTTTTACTAGGATGACGAATCTACGTAATGGCGCGCGCGGTGATTTCTCGGTTAAGTGAGGAAAATTACCCTGTTCGAGCGAGCTACAATCACGTCGGTATTCACGTTGACACTTTGAATTTTATTCGATAAAAAGAAATATATAACTTTGAACGGGAAGGCAAGTGTAATTTTTTGCTTTTAACGTACATTAATTTATTAAACCCTTGTGACAATAGTAGTACCAATAATTACAGCATTACTCTTAACAATAACGAATAATGTATTTATTGGCCTTTATCGGAAATTAATTTGATGAAATGTTTTTTTTTTAATCTAGTTAAAGTAATCTTCCACAGTTGTTGTTTTAATTCCGACTTTGTGGTGGCTAAGGTTGTTGGGAGATCTTTCTTTTCCAAATACTGTTTTGACTGTCGCGACTGTACGCTTGGGATCGTTATGTTGGATGATGTGTAGTTTCTATTTGGCTGAAATTTTTGAATAGTGGAAAATGGATTTTCATTACATGATTTTACACGTTGTATGCCTGTCGATTTTCCTGCAACTACGCTTTGGCAGTAGGAGTTGTTGCTAAATTTCGTTTAAATGTATTACCTTCTCTTCCGTCATAAACTAACCTAATTTCGATGAATCGGGTGTGCATCACGCTTTTTGGAAATCAAGGTTTACAACAGTGTGAATCGCCCGGTGCTCGCGAAGTAACGCTTTCTGAACAACTGCGATAATATCGCCGCTTAACGTAAACAATAGAAGTAAACGAAAACAAAAGCGAATCGAAACGTTACGGGCCAAGCGAACACAAGATATTCCAAAAATAGGGGGCGTGTTGTCGTCAACGTAAATACCGTCGCGAGTGTAAACAGGATGATCGTCTATTAACGAGATCAAAAACATTTTGCAGTGACGATCTGTTCCCAGCATCGCGAAACTGGTTTTTACACGCAAAATACACACAAACACACACCTACAGAGAAATTGACAAAATTTTAAATATACACACACACGTTCCTCAGAAATTTCCGTAACAAACTATATCTGCATTTATCCATGAAAAACTTTAATATATACATTGCAGTAATTTTCGTAAACTAAACAAAAATTACGAAAGTCCCAGCTAACGTGACCTACCAACATATCAACTGTGGCTATTAACGATACAAGAAAATGGTTCAAGGAGAAGTTACAAGGTTTAGAGTCTCCAATATCATGGTTGACAAAATAATTACCATTTTTTGTAATTAGTAATTAAATTTAATTATTGTGCAACAAACATGTCCTTCGTGTGACCTTAAAATAACAAAATAGTTCATTCGATAAATTTACTAAACACTTGTTCGCGGGAATTGAATCGAGTCGATCGAAAATAAACCGTCTCACGGTCATCTGAAGGTCATGCTGTTAAGACTGTGAATTCGCCTTAAGGTCCTCCACAAAAAAGTAACAACAATTACCTAATTGTTTTGTCGACTCTTTTTCAAACACTAGTGAAATTTCAATGATAACCATAATATTAAACTCAGTCATCCTCGTAACTTTTTCCTTGAATCCATTGAGTGCGTAATACTATACAAAACCAAACGTTTACACCGAGGACGACACGCGATCCGCGAAGACGATCGTTTGCCGAGAAATATTTTTCACGTACCAGGTGTACTGAACAGAAGTATTAATTTTATTTGCACACAAAACACAATTAATTTTATAAGCTTGATCTTTTGTTATATGAAATTGTGTTAACGTATATTTAATTTTTATTTAGATTAATATTCGGGAGTATATTTCACTGAACGCATATACGCGTCTATAAGGTTTATACCGATGTCATACATCGGACGCGTATATACACCCGCACGCACTTGGGCCGTGTTGAGAATCGCTCTTATTTTCCCGTGTCACTGAAATAAGCGTGTAGATGTTTCGGGTGGTCATCTTACTTGGGACTACCTGCTGCACGTAGCCTCGCAAACAAACTTGGCTTCCGCTAGGGGAAAAAGTGACGTAGGAGAAGGGCCTCCTACCAATTGGTAAATTTATTTCAAGTATTGAAATAAATGTTAAAATGTATGTTAATTTGGCATAAATTTCAGAAACATCTGAATTCAAATGGTAGAAGGCCCTTTCCATTACACGCGTGCATACCACAGTAGAATCATCCACCGTACCACCCCACGTACCCTCGCGAGCAAACTCGACTTCCACTAGGGGAAAAAGTGGCATGAGAGAAAGGCTTCCTACCACATATTTCTATTCATTTTTTAATTTGGCATAAATTTCAGTAATTCTCAATACCAAGTGGTAGGAGCATAATAGGAGGTTCTTCCCGTACGTCATTTTTTCCGCTAACAGAAACCGAGTTTGCTCGCGAGGGTACACACACATACACACACTCACACGCAAAATACGTTGTCCGACTAGAATTCCCCAGAGTTTCGTACACGTATGTATTTGACTTCAGGAGAGACGGTCAAAAGCTAGTCAAACGATACAATTCTAATTTCTACCCAGCTAACGTGTGTATAGATAATTACTTGTACATTAATTCCGCGCGATTAAGCGCAAACGAAAGAGAAAGAAATGAGAGGAACGCGAGGGCGTGTGCGCGCGATTCGAAGGGCAAGAAAGAAATAGAAGAAAAAAAAGAAAGAGAAAATGAAGAAAAAAGGAACGCCGAGTGTGATCGAACAAAAAAAAAGGGAAGGGGGTTGGGGAGGAAAACGGCGGAAAATATGTAACGGCGACTTTTACGTCGACGCATGCGAAAAAAAAAGAGAAAGTTGAAAGACTGCTTCCAAACGACTTCAGGAAACTCGTTCAACGTAGAATTATTATTTCGTACTGAAACGCAGTGTTTATGACGTCCCGTTGGATATCGTCCCGAGTGGAGCTTCTCGCGATACCCGTCACTAGGCCCAGATTTGTGTTCGATGGAGGGGGGCGTGTACCTTAGGATTCTCGGTCGGTAAAGAAGATACTCAGCTGGTCGGTTCAGCGTTCATCCAGTTCGAGTTCGCCGAAGAGGTTCCACGAGTTTATTCAGAATCAAACGCGAATCTGTTAAGCTGTTAAGCTAACTATTCGATGTACACGGTGTTATGGTAATGCTTTCGTGTCAGCGTATGTCAAGTGGAGTGTTTCTTTTCTCTGTTTAAACGGTAAAAATCTACCTAACCTCAATTCCGATCGAGAATTCTCATCGTGGTACATATTACACGTCCCCAATGCAAATCCTGGACACTAACGGCGGTGATCATCGAAAGGGTTCTCCACCTTGTGTCTGCAGCGGGACGACAACGGCAGTATCAGGAAACGCGAACGATTTAAAAGAAAAACGAAAAATAGAAAAAAGACAAAAAAAAAATGAAAAGGGCAGGACCTGAACTTACTAATGAGAAACGCAGAGTTATTATCCGCATCGAACGATTGTGTATGATGTAAAGTAAGTAATGTAATTGCGAATAGTGCGTGATTCTGCCAAAGATCGACGCCCGTGTTTAATGACCGTTGAGGAATGCTTTGTACGCCCCAACGCGCGGCGTTCGAGTCGTTCTGGTCCAACGTAAAGCGGACCTTGCATGGTTAAGGACAATACCGGGTTAGTAGACTACGGATGTTTACACGCCAATTATATTTGAGCGCATGAAATGCAATAAAATGACACCTTTAGTAACAAATCGATGGTCTGCTTTCAACTTGATAATATGTGATCGACGAAGAAAATCAATTTCTGTCGATTTCTAATTTTCTTGTGTATCAGTCTGAAAAGAAAGTGTTGAATTTTCATAAACATCCACGGAGTCGATCGATTAGTAATATCGATTCAGCGGTGCTAACCTCGTACACTGTCGTCATTGCTAGACTGCGGATGTTCAGGTACGTTTTCACGCGACAGTAAAAGTCATGGGTTTTGTTGCCGTGACACTGTATAACAATGTAAACCACTGTCACGACAACGCAACATCTTATTTTTCACGACGACGAAAAATCGTAATATTTAATTTCATGATACCGTAAAAATCACGATTTATTGTCACGTGAAAACGTACCTTTAATGCTCACGCAA